GCCTATCAAGAGTTATGTACATTCAACAACACAAATAAATGTGGTACATATTGAATGAAGTGAAAGACGTGATGAGCTCTCAAACATCTCCCACCTCAGCATACAAAAAACATACGTACATGAGGCTGGGTGTATCTCAGTGGTAGAGCACATGTACAGTGCTCATTTGCCTCTGGGATCTAGAGCTCCCAAGAAAAAGAAGACACAAAGCTGTGGTGTATAATCTCATAGTGATGAGCAGAGGCATGGTAGTGGAAGCAGATGCTCCTCCAACAGGGTTGTTAATCAGAACACTCCTGATACTTTGGGCCAGTATTTTTATGTAGTGAGGGATGGCTTGTGTGCTGTGTGACATTTAAGAATACCCTTTCCTATCTACAAGTTGCAAAAAATCTTAAATGTGCTCTATATCATGATATAACACAGTATTTCAGAAACACCCACATATTTTATGAAGTATGGAATCAACAATGGCTAAAACCACTGGCGTAAAAGTTGCAGAGGATAGCTCCCAAATGTCAAGGTACCCAAAAAAGCAAACAAAAACCCTGAGCTGCCATCGCTCTCAGCTTTGTACCCAAAACCCTAGCTCAGTGGCCTACCTAAATACTTCCAGTCTGTATTTGCATACTCTCTTCTTGTCCTGTCCATACAGGCTGCCTTTCTGCTGTGGCTAGAGTGAAACCCTAGAAGAAGCTCCATGGCTGAGTGCACTATAACACACATTGGGAGGTGTAGAGGCTGGACTAAGGGTTACTTGAACTAAAGCTCTGCTTTATTTCAGCGGTGCCCTTCGAATTAAGTCCTTCCTATGGTTTTCTCCAGGATATCAACATGGAAGGGAGGTTTCTGAGAGTGCAGAGAAAAGCAAGAGGTACTCGGGGATTTCAGGGATTGCAACTTCCTGCCATTTATGGAACACACAACAAAATCTCAGGGTCACCTCTTTGCCCAGAGAAATATTAGTTGCTGGAAAGGTGACACAACTCCGAGTCTTGGAGAAAACAACGGTGAACAGAATGTTTTTGGCACATTAGGGGCAAATAGGCACTGGGAGGACAAGAGGGCATCCAAGAACAGAAAACCAGTTGTTTGTCCTAAGTTTGAGGAAGTTAGAAGGATTCCAAAATCAGCATAAATTAGAAATAGGAATGGAATTGTTTTCTCTATAGCACTGTACATGCTTTGCATACTGTGGTCAAACTGCTCACCTTGTGTCATTCTATCCTACCCTCTTGCTCTAGTGACGCAAGCTAGATAGTATAAACAGACTGATAACTTCTCTAGAGTGTAGCATTCCCTTTTCCAAAGATTACTCATAATGTTCTCCATGTTTAGTTTCTCTGGAGATCCTGATTAATTCAGCACTCAGTCCAGAATATGATCTTATGAGTTTCATGTTCCAGAGACCAGCACTTTATTAAGAATGGAAGGAATGAGTCTAGACATTTGCCTGAAGTTAGAAAAGCATAATATCTTGATCGAACCAAAGCAAGCGGAAAGTAAAATGTACCGAAAACTCATTGATTATATCTAATCTAGCAAACACCACCACTAAACCATTACTCCTTAAAACTGCTCAACACTTACACTGACATGTAGCTGGGCAAATTTATGTAACAAAGTATATTTTATAATAAAATGATAAATACAGTCTTTTATGTACTTTATTGAATACAGTGCACCACGAATGCACTGGCTGTTTTCATTTTGTATCTTTTGCTGACAGAGCAGTGACCCGCTGCTGCTGCTGGGCCTCATGAACAAGTATTGTACCACATCTCTCTAGGATAGAGTAAAATTCTAAATTAAAATTTTCCACTAAATCCATAACACATTTGCTTTTATTATATACTACTGGAGTTTGAACTTAGGGCACTGTGCATGTTACACAAGTTACATTAGTGTGGAGAAACCACAAGATTTTTATTTTGTCTTGATGTAGGGCTTTGTACAATTAACCAGGATGGATTTGGAGCAGTAATATTTTTTTCTCTGTATGCCATGTGGCAGGGATTAGATTGCATGCCACCATGCCTCACTGAAATTTAATTTACCCAAGTATTGTGATCCTAGTAAATGGTGGTGACTGAAGAATTTCCTTTCTAGCCATGCATGGTGGCCCATGCCTGTCATCCCAGCACACTTGGAGAATGAAAAAGAATTCAAAGTTCACCCCTACCCAGTACAACTTACTCAAATCTGGTTTCAAATTTTAATAAAAAATGTAAAGTGGTGTAGGATGTAGCTCAGAGCAAAGATCCTAAGTTTAATCCCTTGTGACACAAAAGTCAACCACACCTTGCAATCTTTTCTATCCTGGAAAACTGTTTCCCATTACTTCGATAATCAAGTCCACGAAAGTTTTTAACTGACAACCAGTCCAGACAGTTTCCTAATTGCCAATTTTTCCTCCAAAATGTTAAGGTGCACTAATCACTAATAGAAGCCATATTTATCCAACTTTTACTAAGTTCTTCTCCTCCCATCAGGCCTGTGATTTTTGACCCACTCCCAGACCAGGCTCAGCACACAACCCTTCCTTTATTGACACACAATCCGACCTCAGGAAATTATCTCCTCCATTGCAGGTGCTGATTTTGCCACCCACTGTCAGGCCCTCCTCTCTACATAATCCCATTTGCTCTCCCCACACAGAAAAACCTTTTATGAATAATGATCTATATGCCTGCAATCATATTTTGGGGTGTTACCCCCTAGTCAGGACTCCTTTCATATGAAGTCCACCTAAATTAGGTAGTTCAAACCACACCTCCTCCCCCGGCGGAAAAGTCCCGCCGCCCCAGACCTAGAGACACGAGGGAGGGCGACGGCATCAGCCCGCCTCAGCCGGGCCCTGCACACCACAGCCCCGAGGCGGCGGGGGTGACGGGGTGGCCCCCACCATCTCCGGGAGACGGAGGGGTATCACCGATCAAACGATCCCGACAAGGAGGGGGGCCC